TCTCTCTCTCTCTCTCTCTCTCTCTCTCTCTCTCTCTCTCTCTCTCTCTCTCTCACACACACACACACACACACACACACACACACACATGTGCGTCAGACAATCTCTCTCTCTCTCTCTCCCCCCTGTTTGTTTGTTTGTTTGTGTATGATGCCATGCTCTCTCTCTCTCTCTCTCTCTCTCTCTCTCTCTCTCTCTCTCTCTCTTATGGTCACAAAAAACGAAAAAAAAACAAATGGGAAAGAGAGAGAGAGAAACACAAACACACATACCTGCGTCAGCCATAATGGCGATCATCGTTCCCGATTCCTGTCCTCTGCCGTTCGTCGCAATCCAATCACCATTACCGATTTCTCCTCTGCCATTCGTGCCAATATTCGTAATCCTGCTGCCCTCTTAAGCAACCACCCACAATCCCTCCTCTCCTTCTTGACCACTTTGTTCTCTTCCTCTCCTACTCGTCAGACCCTTCTTCATCCCACTACTGTTGCCCTCTCACCAGTACTCTCACCATGCACAATCGCAGTGCCCTCGCGCGATGATATGTTCCTCGTTCACGCCCTGCTCTCCCCACAACCATCGGCCCTCGTATGCACGGTCGCCCCGTCACACCCTTCTTCATCCGACTGTCGTTGCCCTCTCACCACTACTCTCACCATGCACGGCCCTCGTTCATGCCCTGCTCTCCCCACAACCATCGACCGATGCTCGTATGCACCGTAGCCCCTTTACGTGCCTTCCTCTCCTACTCGTCACACCCTTCTTCATCCGTCTGCCTTTGCCCTCTCACCACTACTCTCACCATGCACGGTCGCAGTGCCCTCGCGCGATGATGTGTTCCCTGTTCACCCCCTGCTCTCCCCACAACCACAGGCCGGCGCTCGTATGCACAGTCGCACCTCGTTTGTCCACCCTCACCATGATCGCCCTTTTACGTGCCTTTGCGTGCATGCACCAAGCCATGCTGCCCGCGAATCGCCAAGCCCCGCACAGCAAGCGCTCGTGCACTGCGCCTCCTGACGAACCGCTCGGGCAACCAATGCGCCGACAGGAACAAACTCCCGACCTCACTCGCGCCTCGCACACGAAAAAAAAGTGTCGGTGTATCTTCCCGACCTTCCGCAGCGGATTCGGATTCCGATCCGAAGCGACACACAGACTGGCGAATCTCAAAAAAAGAAAAGAAGCGCTCTACCTTTCCCGGCTTCCTGACCTTGCGCACCGGTTTCGGGTCCGCCAAAAACTGGCTCGTGGAAGCGCTGTACCTTCCCCGGCTTGCCGACCTTGCGCACCGATTCGGGTCCGCCAAAAACCGGCTCGCGGACACTGCTTCCCCCTTGCCCGCTGACTGGGAGCGGTCCCGCGTGGCGCCGCCCGGTTTCTGTTGGGCCCATCACGCGAGACCCACTTCTTGCTTTATAGTATTAGAGAAGAGAAGAGATGAGAGATAATCACAACAACAATATCGTTCCATGGGGATACCTTGCAGGACACAGCTGCACATAGTAGGTCATAAAAGGTGTTAGCTTGGTCAGAGTCCATGTCATGCTCAGTGGATGTGCCGATAAGAGAAGAGGAGAGGGCATGGTGATGGACTGACTAGGAGGCGACGTCAGTCAATGGCTGCACTCAACTTATAAATGGCCAATCAATTAGGTTGTAATGACCTGCCAAACACGGACTGAGACACACAGCTGATTTCTGAGTTTTGCTCATGGAATGTATCCCTTACTGAGTTTCCTGCTTGTTGCTGAGTTTTCTAAGTTTGTGTGGGTGCATGCTTGCTGGTCTGCATGCCTGTCTGAGCGCTTGTCGGCTTGAGTGTGTGTGGGACCCACAAGGGCACTTGGTTGTTCCCAAAGGCCAGAAGGGCCGGTACTTAGCTGTGGCCGTGACATTGAGGGTTGCAACGGGGAAAACACTCAAGTGGCGGGGAAAGAGGCCCTCAACACTTAGAACAGCGGAAAACACTCGAGTAACAGGTAGGCCGGTACCACACCAAGTAGAGGTAGATGTGCCGGGTACTCGAGGCTGAGCAGAAGAAGACAAAAGTTGGCATTTTTAGAGGCCCTGTACGGGCAATATCAGAGTCCGCAATGATGTTTCCCTCCGAAAGGAGGAGCTCCCGGTTGCTTGGAGGCCGTGCGGCTTAGGAAGTCACTCGCCAAGAGGCAAGCAGGCCGCTATGTCTCCACAAGGAGCAAGGTGCTCCTCTTCATTGTCGGTGTGCAAGTTTAGCGACACACTGGTTGGAGCACTGGCTGGAGCAGGGCTGCTGGGAAAGGAGCAAGGACAGGAGGAGAAAGAAGACCAGGACTAGGAAGGGGGAGCACCAGAGGTACTTGCCTGGCTATGGTGGACACCATCTTCATCACCTTGGTGGGCGCCGCAGCATGAACGCCCCAGCAAGGGTAGAGGTACACCAAGAAGCTTTGAGGCAGACTCCGGCATGGAAGCCTGAGCTAGAGAGGACATAGCTGCTTGAGTTGTCTTCTGCACATCAGGGCATGGCCTTAGCAGTCCGCCATAGCCTAGACCTTCGAGAAGAGGAAGGAGGAGGGTGCCATGGCTATGGTGGACCTCATGTGATACCTGCAGTAGAAGAGGGATTCGGACATTGATTCTGGTTCAGCCATTCAACATCATTATTATTATTTCTTGATTGAATAAGAGGTGAGGAGATAAGGAGGAGAGTGGTTGGCAAAGAAGAAGAGCATTATCATTGGTCTATGCTGGTGTACATCATCTTCTTCTTCTGTCTTTCTTCTTCTTCTTCTTCTTCTTCTTCTTCTTCTTCTTCTTCTTCTTCTTCTTCTCATTTATTTTTGCAGTTGGACAGCATTGTACTTTCTGATGAATGTGTACTTCGATATTGGCCAGGATCATAACAAGGTGGCCATTGGCCAGTCGCATGGTTGCAATAAGATTGTAGAGTCCTAGCTCTGCGGCACTGGTGTTCTTTCTTCTCCTGTAGTCAGAGGCTTTCATCCACTTCTAAAATCAGATGGCCGGTTTGCTGTGCAAGGATTTCTAGACAAACCCCACCCCAGTACATCCCACCCTGCCCGGCGCACCTGCATGCACGGTGCATCTTAGAAAAATGGCTGGGAAATGTACTGGTGGTGCTTTTAATTGTCCCATTAGGTTAATTCATGCACTGCTGCTATAGTGGACATCTTGGGCCTGTCACCCAGCATCTACACCAGCAGGGGTTTAACCCAGCAGGGGTTTAAAAAAAAAGAAGAAGCAACTGTACTAATTCATGGAGGCTCCCCCATTATGTCTTTCACCTCCATGGTAGCTCTTGCCATCTATAGCCACCAGGATGGCTATGGATAGCACGGTGGCCGCTCATGCTGTGCATAGCCACACCAATGGCTATAGATATAGCACAGCAGCTCCCCATGGTGTCTATAGCCATGCCACCAAAGTGGTTATGGTAGATGACATGGCTTCCCACGTGGCTATGGTGGCTCTCCATAACCACGTTCATGAAAGTTTTGCCTGCATTGGGCTGCTGCTCTCCTCATCCTTTTGCAAATCCTCGCACAACTTTTTTTCATGTTTTTTTTTCGGATTTTCCTTTCCACTACCATTTTCTAATGATCGCCTTTTACTTTTTTTTTTTTTTGGAAATTTGATTTTTTTTTTTTTTTCCCCATGGTGTTGGCTCACGTCACAACTTACCAACTCCAGAGTTGCACTCCCATCTACTTCCGCCACCAGCTTGAAGTGACATCGGCTGATGCACAGAAAAGCCTTCGATCCGGAGCTTTCACGTTCTTCACTTTTATTCCAGATCGAGTCTCTGCCTAATATGTTGACACCAACTTCAATTGCAATATCGTCCCGAAGGACACACTCGCCAGCATCCTCGGCATTGAGAATCGGACTTAAGATCGCAACAATCTTCCGCTGTGTCACACATCCACAGGAAGCCAGCTGGCATTAGTAAAATAATGCCCCGTTCTCGATGACACCCATCGCATATCCGTCCACTGAAGTTAGTTGCAATTCGAGGACATCAGTTAAAATTGGAACAATGCAGAGAAGATTAGCATGGCCCCTGGGCAAGGATGACACGCATAAAATCGAGAAAAAAAAAAACCAAAAAAGTTGGTTGCACTTGCACTTCTCGTGTCATCCACAGCAAGACACATGGCATTGGGAAAATGCTTCCCGGACAAGTGGCACACAAGCGGGGATTGTCGAGGAAAGTTATAATTGTCGGGGGAAACCATGATGTAGGATATACGTAGACTCCATCACAGAGGGAGTCAAAAGTTACATCAACACCATTTTTTTCGACATTTCTTTTTTTTCAGACATTTCAAAAGGACACTGCTTCCTTCTCCCCCCCCCCCTTGTCAATGTACTGTACATGGATGTCCAGGTACAGTCCTGTACATGTGCAGTTAACTGTCCAGGTGCATCCATCCAGAAAAGAACAGTGCCTGTACATGAGAGCGTGTGCAACCGCAGCTCAGGATTTCTGTATGTAGTATGTACAAATATATCGTCAAAAAGAACTGGCCCGTAAACCGTAGGCAGGGAGAAGAGGACAAGAACAAGGGGCTGCGACAAACTGTTTCCTCGGGAGTTTCACAGACTCATCAGGAGACTACATATATATACATGTATATATACCAACCTTTTCTTTTTTTTTGGTTCTAAGTTAAATCACTTCAATGAAGGGATACCTTGCATCACCGCTTCCGGGGCAGAGCTCAGCAGCCGAGGCCAGGTAATGGCCCGGGTAAACAATATCTCAATGTTACTTGATGTATCTGGGAAACTGTACCCAGTTTCCAGCAGCTGCTCCCCACCTAAAGAACGGCAGTAGGCCTACTTAAAGGGCCTTTACGATTCAGGCCTGTAAAAGTGACCCCTGCATGAAAAGGGCCCTCTCGGCCTGAACTCAATTTCACGAGCAATATTCCAAAAAGACAAGTTCCTGAGGCAAATATCGCATCCATAATGAACTGAAAAGTCGTTTTGAACAGTCACGAGCAGGTCCTGGACGAACAGGTTTAGGACACAGATTTCAAGACTGAGTTAGGGTCATGTCTGCTCGACGATAAGTCGTGTCTGTTCGGAAATAAGTCAAAAGCCACAGTCCCAGTCCAGTCACAGTCCCACGGGTCAGTCCTGATTCAGACCAGGAGTCCAAAAGACAGGCCTGATGGCCCAAGCAGCAGCAGACCATGGGAAAAGATACTGGGACACAAACTTTGCAACAACAGGTACTGGGCAGGAGTCCCAGACACTTGGGAGGCCGAGTTCAGACCTCGCCAGTCCAGTCCAGCGCTATAAAGGACTGGCCAGCCTCCTCATAGGGCAGATGCTCATTTCGCATGAAAGTGTGGAAGTGCCGTGGCACTTGTGCACTAGATGTGTGTGAGCAGCGCTAGGCTGAAGAGCAGCGCTACGTAAGAAGGAAGACGTGAGCGCTGGCTGGAGAGAAAACAGCCATAGCTGCGCCAGCGCTAGCTAGTGTATCAGTAGGGATAGTCAGTAGGAGACACCAGTGAGTAGCATTCAGAGTATATCCTCGTGTGATAGGGAGTGTGCATGCATAATGAGTGTGAGTAGACCAGAACTGTAGACAGAGAGGGAGAGAAGAAAGACAAGAAGGTAAAGAGAGAGAAGAATGGTGATACTTACCTGTTGAGCACTGATCTTAGTGATTGTTGGCTAGTGCTGATGAGCGCATGGCCTGGAGCACTATTGAATGAGGAAGACATGTGTTTCTGTTGGGCGCTACATCTTGTGAACTCGTGATTCTGGTTGTGATAATTGAGATGCACTACCTGGTTACCACTCATTCTCCAATGAATTACGTGTGAGACTTCGCAAATTTGTGTGATCTGCATGCTATCTGGAACACTCCAGCAAGAGACTTGAGAGCAGGAAAGTGAAAACATTACGGCGGGGTCATTAGGGAGGGGTGGAACGAAGAATTTTCCGTCGACCCTTGAGTTCAAGTGGTGTCGAACGAGGCCCTAAGGGCTCTGGGTTTTGAGTATAGGACTTAGGGTTAAGGGTTCGAGTCTAGGCTTTAGGGTTTAGGGTCTTCGGCTTGGGGTTTCAGCCTCACAGTTCAGGGTTTAGGGTTTGAGTCTAGGCTGTAGGGTTTAGGGTCTTGGGCTTGGGGTATCGGCCTCACAGTTCAGGGTTTAGGGTTCAGGGCTCAGGGCTCAGGGTTTCGCCTTCATGGTCGAGGGTGTAGACTCCATCACGGGATTTCAGGTTTAGGGTTTAGGGTATAGGGTATAGGATTCAGAATCTAGAGTTCAAGCTTCGGCACCCAGTTGCACTGCTGCATGATGATAATTTATATGCCCTCTATTCGGCATTGCAATAGGGACCTTCTGTTCGGCATTGCAATATGGACCTTCTGTTCGGCATTGCAATATGGACCTCAAAGCAGAGGGATTTAGGTTGAGGCTTTAGGCTTCGTGCTTTAGGGTTGAGGGTTCAGAGCCTGGCCCCTATGCACTCATGATGCTCACTCTGTCAACAATGCAGCACTGCATATTGTCTATACCTGGAGAGTGAACAAGTGAGGACAGCAATAACCAGCCATCTTCATTCAGCTGCGTGCCCAACTCATATGGCGTACCCTTCTTTCGCCTTTTGCTAAAGAAGAATACCATGGGTTGAGCACACTGAGCAGCTTACACCAATTTTTGACGGCCCTTCACAAATTTGACAAAAAAAAAAAAAAAAAAGACAGCCGCGGTCAGGTATGCTATTCCAGGAGGAGGTGGCAAGGGCGTTTTCCTCGGGGTCTCTGCATCAGAGCTGGGATAAAGTCCCTCTCAAGTGGACTCATGAAGGTTAGGGCAGGGGAAGTGCAGATTCAAGGGAGGGTTAACCCATAGTAGGGGGTTGACTTTTTGGAGAGAAGGGGGGGACGGTAGGGGGAAAAGGGGCAAGGAAGAATAAGAGAAGAGGGATCGGCAGTATGTTTCCTGCCCTTTCCCAACACCGTTTAGCTTCGGCGCATCATCTGAAAACGGGCCTGAAACAGGGATCTGAAACAGATTTGGGCCCACATCACAAAGTTAAAGGGGTCTGAGACAGACAGATAGACAGACAAACAGACAGACAGGCGAACAGACAGACGAACGGACAGACGGACAGACAAGTGCTCTAAGACAAATTTGTGCCACATCTCAAAAGGCCATATCTCAAAATGAACCAGATGAAGATGTCATCTTCATCCGGTTCATTTTGCTGCACATGAGAAAGGACAGCAATCTGTGCTCTCGTGGTCTGAGGGCATACTCACACTCGGGCTATTCACGATGCATTTGACCTCAATTACGGCCCGTTGTGGATGTGTCAGACCGCACTTACGTCCAGAGAGACGAGCTGAAAGAGTGAGTAGGTCCTGAGTGTTTCCTTTATCACAGAGCCATAGGTTTTCTTACTGGTAGGCATTTCTGGAGGACGGATTTAACCTCAATTACTGATGGTCATGGATGTATCATAACGCATTTACGTTCAGAGACAAGCTGAAAAAGTCCTCATAGTACGCCCTGAGAGTTTCTCTTTCTCAAGGACCCATCACTTAACTTTACTCACTGGTAATGCAGCATTGGTCACCAACCATAGCAGTAGCCCCACCGGAATCTTGCTTGTCCAGGGGAACTAGAAGTCCCACGTTCATTGTCCTGTTCAGTAATTTCTCCCGTTCTTTCCTCTTCATGGAGATCTCAAGTTTCCTTTTTCTTAAAAAAAAAATGATTTTTCGACATGTTCCCCCCTTCCCCCCCCCAGTTTCTCTCTCTTACTCAGCCATGTGGCTGAATGGTAAAGCCCCCAACTATTGATAAACAGGCTTGTGCTGGAATCCCGATGGAATCAGATAAGTAAAACAACTCTGAAGTACCCGGGACCAGTCAGTTTGATGACGACGTTGCAGGCCCATTGCCCTTTTTTTTTTGGGGGGGGGGGGGGGGGGGTTCTGCTGACTTAGGTATTTTTGAGGAAATGCTATATTCTGAAAATAAAAGTGGTTGACCAGCATATGTTGGGGTTTTCTGAAAAAAAGGCCGTAAAAAAAAAGCCTAAATAAAAAATATACCCTATACCACATTCTTCAGAGATCGGATGCCACAGGGCCAAAATGGCTGGCGGCCAAAACAAAAGGAAAAAAAAATGCCGTGCTGGCACTTCGACCAAAGCTTGGCGCACAATTCTACCCCGCCTCGGCAAAAAGCGGCTCGGAGGTAGTGGTGGATTAGCGAAAAAAGTTTATTCCGATATGTTGGCTTTGGGTCCTGCTGCAGTAGTTTGGGGAGAAACTATTCTTTGGAGAAGCAACAAAAAAACATCAACTGGATGGATAAGGAAATGGATAAGGAAACCGATAAGGAAGTGGATAAAGAAGTGTAATAAGGAAGTAGATAACAAAGTGGATAGGAAACTGTGACAATGAAGTGGATAAGACGGAAGTGGATAAGGAAGTGGATAAGGAAGTGGATAAGGAAGTGGATAAGGAAGTGGATAAGGAAGCGGGGAAGATAGCATGAAAAAAAAGAGAGGGTTGCTCTGGTGGTCAGATTGGACGATAATAAGAAGGGAACAGACAGAGGCGGAAGAAAGGGAACCATCTCCCCACGAGACAACATAAATAGGAGGACAGATAGGTAAACGGTAAAGATCAGAGAGTGTGGAAGGACAACCATGACATCTCCCTAAAGAAGGGAGAGACGTCTTCAACAGAAGGGCAAAATTGCAGAAAAGAGTAACACGCATCTAATATTAATATTCACAGTAAATATCATTAAAATTTTAAAAATAATAATAATAATAATGATAATCGGCTCTACACATCTAATATTAATATTCACATTAACTATCATAAAGAAATAATAATAATAATGATAATCGGCTCTACTAGAATG